TGGATTATAGAAATCAGTGATGATACCCAGCCCTGGTGAGCAGCCTCGGCCCGACAGAGTGGATGTAGCTGTGGGTGATGAGAAAAGATGAAGAACGATTGATAACTTTTTTGTTAAGTTAAGGCCTGATCCGTCTGAAATTCACAGCCAGCTCTGACACGGAGCCATCAACCTCTGAACGCTGAAAAAGCAGCAGTGTGTCCAGGAAACACAATATATGCTGCGATAAATGCCCAAGTGTCCCCGCGGCCCGCGGCCCAGCGAACAGGTCGTCAGAGACGAGATGATGTTTAACATGGTCTACAGTATTACCAAAGAGTGCCAAAGCACTTTAAGCACAAGCACACGATTGTTAGTTAATCATTTACAAATCAATATTGTCTGTGTGGACAGCAGTTCCTCCCCAAAAAAGTGCACGTGTCAAAGTGCACGTGTCAAAGTGCACGTGTCAAAGTGCACGTGTCAAAGTGCGGTGTTTTTAGGTGTGACTAACGTTTGTGCAACTGTGGCAAAAAGTTAGTCTCGAGCCCTGAATTACTTTTCAAGTAATGAATTACTTTTAGAATCTTGTAACTCAGTACTAACCCAGTTACTTTTTTGAAGAAGTAACTAGTAACTATAATTAATTACTTTTTCAAAGTAACTTGGCCAACACTGGTAATTGCAGACCTGTATCTAAATGACCCCGTCACAGACGCCGTTGTTTGTATCGTGTGTGGACGAGTTTGAGTCGGGTTCTCGATCAGAGACCGCTCTGTGCTTCTCGTCTGCTGCCTTTGGCGTCCTCCTGTCTCGTCCAATCAAAGCCACTTCTGACGAGGTTCATGCCTCACCAGCAGAGGTGTCTCTGTACTTGTGGGAGACTCACCTCTCGCTTTAGGAGTACCTCAGGGTCTATATTACCTCTTTGCTAACGTGTGTGCTCACTCGGCTGAACAGCAGAGATCCATGGGAGCCTGAGCTAAACTGTTAGCGATTAAGCCCTGGATGAGGATACGTTTGTTAAATCTTAATGACAGAAAGACAGATGTCACAGGCTTTACGTTTGACCCCTAAGCGAGTCTTCTGACACTCGAGTCGGTTGTGTTGCTGTAAAAAGTCTGGGCTGGTTTCATCAGAGCCCAGCTGAAGCCTTATCGTGCTTCACAGGTATCGAACATGCATGCATGACCACACCCCTTATCTTCACCTGAGAAGTGATTTTACGATTTTATTGCTGCTTTTTCACAGCCTGGCACCTGTGCACCTGTCTGAGCTGCTCCACATTCACACACCTGTGAGAGCTCTGAGCTCACCTGAGGCGACGCAGCTTTTGCAGCAGTAACAGCAGATCTATGGAAAAGGCTACCTTTCCATACCTGCACACATTTAAGTCTTTATTAAAAACACATTGGTATATATTTGACATCCTCACAGACGATCGGATTTTCTGATTTTATTTTAATGTTGATCGTTGTGTCAGGCTACGTCCACACGTACACGGGTATTTTTGAAAACG